TTTTCGAAGTGAGTGCGACCAATTCCTAACATATTCAGATACGTTTTTTGACAAAGCGGCGTATTGCGATCTCAATAATAAAATGTTCTTTTATTAGTACGTGTTTTCTTTTTGAGACGTCGACTGGCAGTTATTTCTCCACCGTTCATTGCTTTCAGTTGAGCCATTAAAAATATATCTTGTTCAGATCTAGAGAGAGCTTGAAACGCCTCACGTAATTCAGCAAATTTTTCTCTCGAATCTTTTTTGAGCAACCACAGTTGCAACCTATCTCCAAGAAACGCATGGCCTTTTCATATTCGGTGGAACCGTTATAATTATAATTTTCCATATTAATATACGGGTAATCCTATATATAAATTTTAAACTTCATTGGTTTGTTATTTTTATGCACAGAATAAATTTTTGTTAGTTCTTTTTTTGACATTATGATTATTATTAGAGCAATAGCAATGGTGCTTTGTAAAAGCAAGAGGAATTTGCAGACAATATTTACAACATCTCTCATCTTTTATCATGGATAAGTACTAATTGATAATTAAAATAGTCCACTTTTAAAATAATGGAAAATGTAATCTTTTTTTATTGCAATGATTTGCTCCTTACCATTACAGTGTACATGGACAAGCATTTTGAAAACTTTGATGACAACATTAAATGCAACATTGCCCAGTTTTGTATATGTTTGGATGATAAATACAGAAGATTATAACTATCCAAAATCGAGAATCAAATTAGAACACTCTCATGGCAAGAGTTAATCCTGAAGATATTGCAATCGCAATATACTCTTCACTGCCTCTGTTGCATAGGCATCCCCTGATGCAAGTTGTGCAGGTTCAGGCTATGATTGGAGAATTTTGACCAGCAGCTTTGCAATTCCTCTGTTGTAGCTGTCATCTGCAATGCAGGGATAGACATTTGTGTTGAGACCAATGATCTTGAGGCCAAGTTGGGTTCTTTCTACTGGATGATGCACACCACAGCCACTTAACATCTCTTGGGCTGTGTTTTGCAATATTCCAAGTTCCATCCACAATGCACCATATGGAATAGTAGTTGAACTATCTATAAGTCCCAGTTTCTGGGGTGCCAGACGAGACCGTGATTGTTCACCAATTTTTTGTTTCTTGCGATTTTTCACCTGAACAAGTATGAATGAAATGCGTTCGAGTGGGATGGTGCTTTGTACCGCGTAGGTTTAAGACGTGAAGTGCAAAAAAAAGGTAATATTTATAGTAGAACGAAGTACCAGCGATAAACGCGATCAGCAGCAGTAACTCGCAGATTTCAATAGCGAAAGTGAACATTTTGAGTGGGATTGTTATTTGATTTTGGTGGATAATAAAATAATGCTTTCGATAATACAGTTGCGATTCGATCGATTGTAATTGTTTTCTTTAAGCGAAAACACGGTGAAATGGGGCTGGTTTTATACCAATTTCAAAATTACAAGCGTTCATTAAACATACGTCATAATCATGGACTTGAAACAGTTAATTTGCCGATCAAATGTAATGATTTATTCTGGTGTTTCCTATTATTACCTTTAATACTTACCCATTATTTCTAATACGATGCAGGTTTTGAATTGTGTCGGATTTGTAGTACTTGGGCACTGCGAACCAAAAATTATTGTATTATTGCTATTCTTATTCGAATACATAAAGAATCATGGAGATTATCGATAATATTAACTATAATAGAGAAACAAATATTTGCTTTATGTTTCTAATTTTCGTTTCTTTCTTGGTTCATCATAAGTTGGAGTTAAGGTTCGTTTAATGGTTTTTATTTTTCGTTCGCCTTGGTAAATTTCATAAGTGATTTTTTCTTGATCTAGATAGTCCTGGAGAGTTTGGGTATCATTGATTTTAAAAATGTATGGAGCAATTTTTTCTCCTTGAGCTTTCTTTAGAATACTTCGAATAGTGCTGTAATTCTTGGGTTCCATAGTGGATTTAATGTAAATTAGTTTCATATTTATATTTTTTATATAGAGGTAGTCCTATATTACTCACATTATGGTTTATATTCATCACATTCTAGTATGATAAAGTGAAAATTAAAATCAACAAGTTCATAACTTATGAATGAGCATCAAATTACTTTCAAAACATCATCAGTCACACTGGTCAGTTTACAGCCACATCATGATCAGCCTCTACGGGTTGTATCACATGATATCCAGCCACGTGGCACCAATACTGATTGTGGCACTTAGTCAATTTGTGGCACCTGCTGTGTGGCATAAACTACTCCGCTTTGTGAACACGATCAGCGCAAAGTTTTTCGTTGGTCAGAATATTCGTTACGTCACAAAAACAAATACATGACTGTTGGTCGAGACGCAGCTCCTTTACCCTTCAGCACGAGACGGACGAACATGAGTACCGCGCAAGATTCAAGCCGCACCACAACAAGCGCAACCCCAACTTCCCTGCCCGAAGACAATGGCAGTGTGGGGAATAGAGGGAATGGTAAGCATTTAGGTCAACTCCACTCCCACACGGTAGTTCACAACACTGTTTCTGCACATAATTCAATACATTCAGGCAACTTTTTACGCAAACATTTGTTCGCAGGATTCCATTAATTCCGCCTTTCTTCGTGAAAGTGCATTGTGTACCTCCTTCGTGGAGTGTTACTTTTTTTCCACCCTCGCTTAAATGAGGACCGCCATCCGGTTCATGGATGTGCATTTCACCCTTCACTCTTGTGTTGAAGTGCATGCCCCCCTTCCACGCGTGAAGGGCACCCCACACTCACTGTGCCGGCGAAGCGAGTGTGGGCAATTGTCATCCCCGTTCTAGTGACAGGTCGTCGGGTGCACTCTTTTTGCTCGCATTGACTCATCCCTTTTTTTTTTAATTATAGCGCTTCCGAGGTACTGATCGAGGCCCTGCTGCGGACGTGCCGAACAAGCGCAACCCCAACTTCCCTGCCCGAAGACAATGGCAGTGTGGGGAATAGAGGGAATGGTAAGCATTTAGGTCAACTCCACTCCCACACGGTAGTTCACAACACTGTTTCTGCACATAATTCAATACATTCAGGCAACTTTTTACGCAAACATTTGTTCGCAGGATTCCATTAATTCCGCCTTTCTTCGTGAAAGTGCATTGTGTACCTCCTTCGTGGAGTGTTACTTTTTTTCCACCCTCGCTTAAATGAGGACCGCCATCCGGTTCATGGATGTGCATTTCACCCTTCACTCTTGTGTTGAAGTGCATGCCCCCCTTCCACGCGTGAAGGGCACCCCACACTCACTGTGCCGGCGAAGCGAGTGTGGGCAATTGTCATCCCCGTTCTAGTGACGGGTCGTCGGGTGCACTCTTTTTGCTCGCATTGACTCATCCCTTTTTTTTTTAATTATAGCGCTTCCGAGGTACCGATCGAGGCCCTGCTGCAGACGTGCCGAACAGTCCGTCCTTGTTACGGGGACGCTCGACGGAGTTCAGCACGAAGAGCTCGAGCAGTGGCTTCGTAGTATGACGGCGTTGCCGTTCGAACACATTATAAAGAAACAAGTAAACAGGTCAGTGCTCGTTATCATCGAATTTCTTAGCATCTGACCAATTGCTTATTTTCAGTTACGGCCATGTTCATTTTCTTTCCCGTGTAGCCGCAGGCAATTTTTTTTTTGCTCACAAGGGGCACGCCTACGTCGGGCCCGCTGGCGGCATGGTGAGGTTTTCCGAGGCGACGTATTTCAAATCCGATAGAAAAATCGCTTACATAGCAAACGTACGTATAAGTTTCTGCATTGTTTTTTTATTTTCGAGTCTGACCAGATGGTTTTAATGCGCTCGACCTCCCTGCAAATGTTGTCGCCCTTTTTAGGAGCATCGAAAGAGACAACGCGGCGACGCTGATAACCAGCCGGCGAATAGGGAATCGCCGCCGTATGCTCTTTATGAAAACCGAGGGTCAGTATAATCATGCAACAGTTCTAAAAATCCACGTTATTGATTGTTTCTTTTTGTGAAATAGCTCATACACCGTGTGCGTCTGCGCGCCCGGCGTATCCGATAAAGACCAAGCCCGTCTTGATGTTGGTGAAGACGGCCAAACCTTGACGATATCTGCCGAATTCGAAATTAACTGCGTCGGCAGCAAGATAGTTGACCACCTCCCATCGACGCTCAATCTTGAAGTCCCCCTTCCAGGCAAGTAAGTGAGAACCACCTTGTTGGACTGCTTGCTGCTATTGACGTTAGCTGATTAATTTTATGTCTTGCTGGACAGGATAAGCAAAGAACGTCCTGTGAAGGTAGATTTGAAGGATGGCTTAATGTTTATAACCTTGCAAACAGCAACTTGGAGATTACGGGTTGAATAATTAGATCTGTACAAACATTACATGCATTGGTGGAGATTTGATGCATGTTCAGTAATGCAGGTGTCGACCATGTGGTATTATGCAATTTAATTGGCTGATATCTTGAAATCTAATCCCATAATTGCTGAATTTTGCAAATGACAATAATACATAATGATAATAATAAAGCTTTTTTAAATAGTGCAAATGTTTGCTTGTAATTAAAGGAAACCATGTACAGTCTTTTTTGTACAGTTTGAAAATATGTTGTAGCAAGTTTTTTTTTTTTGGCTTTAGTGAATGTGAACTCATGTAGCCATTGTAATAGGTTTACAAAGTCTCTAAAATATAATTTATAAACATGAGCCACAGCTATAAATCAAACAAAAATGTCATCAGCTAAATTAGTTCATTTCCAGCCAACATCAGTCTCTTTTAGCTCACATGATCAAATGTTCACTTTGTCTGGTTTTGTTGCAGTCTGCCCCATTTTATTTCACAACAATAATATTACAACATGAACATTTGATGATGGAGGGAGAGCTACTTATATATCTTTTCTGTCACAAGAAAAACAACACGTTTCTATATAAATTATTATACTATGAAGAACAATTAATTTTAGCGTTTGTGCTGTCACATATTTTGCAACATGCTACTAAATTAATATCTGTATTACTAAACTAAAATTAGTGCTGATCATGGGTTTGTTTAACTGCAGAGGAAGATTTTATCATGGGACTAACTTATCTGATTCATCAGATCAGCTTATCGTAACAGAATAAAAGAACTTGAAGCAGAAAATGGTAGTTATAAAGAAGAAGTTAAGAAATTAAAAACTCAGTTAGAACATGTTACGGCAAGCTGATCTGATGAATCAGATAAGTAAGTCACATGATAAAATCTTCCTCCGCAGTCAGCAAACCCA